GCTTTGATCGACGGATAGTTTGCTTTTTTAGACGTTTTATTCTCTCCCGTCTTTAATCATTCTCATTGATAAGTCACTGAGTGAACCCGCATCTGCTCTTCGTCCTCAATGATGACGATGCTACAGAGCCGTCTGTCTTTAGGATGCAGCTCCTGTTGGAGTGAGTGATTGTAAGTTATTCAGGTGAAATGTGTGAATATGCTGCAGGTTGTTCACAGCGTTTATCTGTTCTTGGTTTTACATGAGCTTTAAATAAGCAGAGTTGCTCTTTGGTTGTGCAACACGTTAAATTTATGAATATATGATGCTTTCATGCTTAGGTCAAAAGTTGCTGTCAGGTTTTTAGAATCTGTTTAAGAAAATATCTTTGTTTAACCCCAGTCAAACTTTGCTTTGTGTCCTACAAAGAAAATTAAAATCAAGTTTTTTTAAATTGGCTGTTAAATTGTTTTGTTCTTAAAATGTCTTACAATTTTTAAAGACAAAGAAATGTATTGCATTCAAGTTTTATGTTAACCGCCTAAAAATTGTTGAGATAAATGTATATTATGTTTTAGCACAGTTTGTACAATATCAAATTTATAACACAATTGTCAGGTTAGACTGATATTACATTACATATTTCTGAAAAAAATCAAAGCAAATAAGTATTTTTATGCATAAATGTGGCATCTTCATTTTATAGATATGTTTTTGATTTGCACTTTTCCCCTTTGCTAATTATTTTCACTATTTAAGAACTGTAAAAATTAGAGTTGTAGTTTTTAAAAAGCAACTTGAAAAAATACTCTTTAAAAGTGGTTAGGGTTAGGGTTAGAGTTTTTAGTTTGCCCAAACCAAAATTTGATGTATTCCACAAAAAATAAATAAATAAATCTACATAGAAATCCACAACTAGCAGCCAGTTGGCTGATCGTTAATTTCATCAAGCTTCTCCTAGATGCTTTTTTTTCCACATTTCAATTTATGTAAATTTATTAAACACAAAGGTATATACTTTTAATTTATTTTATATTTTTAAATGTTGATTTTTGTTGAATTACTTGGTACTTTTTTTTTCTATCAAATTTCCCGACATTTCAAGTGTAGCTAACGAGTGATTCTTCTTTTTTTTTTTTTTCCAAGCTTGAAACCAGTAACTCAAAACTTATACAAAACAAAGCATATATTTCTATCTAGAGATTTAGAAAATAGAGATTTCATCTGCATAAAAATTGAAGTCTAAATATTGTTTGTAAAAGAATTTAGCAATTGTAAGTTAACTAGCTAATGGGTATAGCTACTTGTTAAAATCTCTGATCAGTTGTCTTAAATGATATAGTGGTGTTTTCCACTAAAATATATTAGTTGCTGCAAAGCTTCAACCAGCTACTAGTTAGCTGATTAATGGTGAATTTATCAAACTTAAACTAGCTGTTGGATCAGATTTCAAATTCATATATTTTATATATACTGTACACACACACACACATTATATATATATATATATATATATATATATATATATATACACACACACACACACATTTGAGGTTCTTTTAAGTTATTTTAATTTATTTTCAACGAAACTATAAACATTCAATTAAATTTTTTCCCGCCTTTTTCTAAAGTCTTTACAAGTGTAGCTAAATATACTTCTTTTGTCAGTGGCTATTATAAAGCTTTATTATATCTTTTTTTTTTCCTTGATCTTAAAACAAACATATTTTTAAAATTCAATTGTAAAAATAATTTATAAAAGAATTTAGCTAATTTGAGCTAACTAGGTAACAAAGAAAGCAAAGTTTTAAACTCTCTCGGCTGCTTCCTTTAAGAACAATCTTTAAAGTATGCATCATAGCAGGTCTTGTTACCATCTTGTCGACATGGCCTGTCGCTCTTGAAGGTATTATTTCATGCTCCTGATACTCGTCTCCATCCTCTCCGACTTGCTTCTTCTTCTTCGCCTCTCGTGTTCTGCTTATTGCTTTGAACAGTTGACCCCAGGTACTTAAACTCATCTATTTTTAGCACATCTACTCCTTACACCTGTTTCTTCTCTCACAAGTTGCTTCTGTCTCATTTCTACTAACTTTAATTCCTCTTTAAATAAAACCTCCACCTCTCCAGGCTCTCTTCCACCTGCTCCCTACTCGCACTGTAGATTAGTGTCATCTGCCGACGGCTGTAGCATAAAGAAAATGTAAATGCACATTTAAATCCTTTAACCTAGTCATCACATTTTTATTTATTTGTTATTGGTTTAGTTTTTTATTTATTTTCCAAACTACCTCCTGTTTGTTCAGTTCGTGTTAGCATTTATTTAAAAATTAAATTAAATCTAGCTTGAGATTGTATCTCTAAGCTGCAGGAATGTAACGAGAAAAATATGTAGCTAATTTAATTTTTTAAAAAGCTGAAAAGGTGATATTCTTAAATTTAAATATTTTGAATATTAACCATATTTCCATGTAGAATTACATTAAAGTGCTTCCTAAATATATTTAATAAACACTAAATTGTGCAACTGAAAGGGAAACTATTTTTCTTCCACCTTTTTTATTGTATTTTTGTTTATGCTTGGATTCCAGATGTATAATTAAATACATTTATATAAAAACTATATTTAGACATTTCTGTTGGTTATATTAATGTCTGCAACAAAAGTTGTTGTAAATGAGAGTGTATACATATATTATTGTTTTGCATGTGCTGTAACTATCCCACTGTTGTAACTTTGTTTCACAGTCAGTAGTTTTTATATAATTATCTGCCTTTGATTTATGTTTGATATTTGTAGTAGAAAATTAAATTTTTAACATTTTTTTCATCTTTTCCTTATTTATTGTGTAGTACACATGGTTTTTGGTCATATTTGTGTTGTGAATTAGTAATAGTGTTAACATAAATTAGGGATGCACGATATTGGATTTTTGGCCGATATCCGATATGCCAATATGTTAAAACTTACTTGGCTGATAACCGATACCAATACTGATATTTTTTCCCCTAGACCTACTTACAGAGACTACATAGCTTTCTCTGCTGTGGAATTAAAATACTACATTATTCTGCAGGTCTTTGTCAGTTTGGCCTGCTGCCAATTGCAAATACCAAAAAGGGGCTAAAAATGATGCAACACTTCAACTTGGATTATGTTGATTGGTAAATTTATTCTTGACATTTACTCTCTAACACAATGACAACTCTCCAACACTGTTACAAAAACAGCTCTTTTTATATCGGTGAGTAATTTTGATGGAATGTCCGATATTTAACTTTATTGCTAATATCGGCCGATACTGATACCATGCCGATAATATTGCGCATCCCTATCAGAAATATATTCTTTGACTGCAATCTTTGCTAAAATTAAGGTTTTAAGGAAAGTTTAGTTGAGTAAACTGTTTGTTTGTTTTAGTTTTTTATTATCTTTGAACAAAACAGAATATTTGTAAAGATCTTAATTCTTTCTGGTGTTGCAAAGATGTTTTTTACGTAACCTCTCAGCTGAACCCATGTCAGTCCACACAGTGAATTATCATGCTTGTTTTTTTCCTTTTCTGTCTCATCAGAGGTTTGTCTAAAAAGTTTAGTTTATTTATATCTATCAGTTTTTGACCTTAACGTCACGCTGCTACCAAAATAAAGGTTTTGTTCCTCTGTCTGCAAATATTACTGTACTTGAGAGTCATTGCTGGTTTTTTTTGCCATTTTTACAAATATATATTTGACTGCTTTAGGCCTGACTTGAAAATATCGAGTATTGTCTGTGGTTTAATTTGTTCAGTGGACAAGGATGCATTGGGCCTTGGTACCCTAAAGAACCCCCCACATACACACCTGCAAATATCAAGTCAAGTCAAATGTATTTATAAAGCACATTTAAAAGCAGCAGCTGTTACTAAAGTGCTTAACAAAAATAAATAAATCAAAGACAATAATTTAAGAAAAAATAATAACAAAAATTAATTAAAAGCATAAAAAGAAAAACAACACAGAACAATAAAATACTAAAAGGAACGTATGATTGTAGTAGGTCGGAGAGATATGAGGGTGCAAGGCCATTTAGCATTCATAGGTTAATATGTGAATTTTAAAATATATTCTGTTACAGACAGAGAGCCAGTGAAGGGAGGACAAAACTGGTGAAATATGATCAAACCTATGAGTTCCTGTTAATAGCCAAGCTGCAACATTTTGGATGAGCTGGGGACGTGAAAGGGAGACCCGACTGACCCCAACATAAAGCGCAGTACAGTAGTCAAGTCAGGTTGTAACGAATACATGGACAATTTTTTCAAGATCAGATCTGGTCAACACCGACTTAAGCTTAGCTATCTGCCTTAACTGGAAGAAGCTTTTTTTTTGTAGAACAGAGTTGATCTGTTTATTAAACAAAATCAGAGTCTAAAACCATCCCGAGATTTGTAACAGACTGCTTAAAATATGGCTCAAGAGAATCCAGGTTTATAGGAACAGACAGCGGTAGAGCTAGAGCTAAACACAATGACTACAGTTTTCTGATCATTAAAACTTAAAAAAAAATGGAAACCATCCATGCCTTGATATCATCAAGACATTTTAACAGAGGGTAAATGGAGCAACAACTATTGGGTAGATAAATCTGACAATCATCAGCATAACAATGAAACGAAAGACCATGTTTCCTCAGGATAGACCCCAAATACAATGATACATTGAAAGATACAATGAAAACAGACAGAGTGCAAGAATCAAGCCCTGTGGATCCCCGCAGGAAAAGGGTGCTGAAGCAGATAACATATTGCCAACATTAACACAAAAGCTTGTCACTTGTCAACCATTCTAATGCTGCACCTGTAATTGGATACATAGTAAACTGACTTTGCTCTCTAATGTTCCTTTTCTTATTAAAAGAAAAACATTTTCCCTTCTGTTCAACCGATCTGCATGCCTCCTTTTTATTTAATATTCTTTTTGCTCTCATTCTGTCTGACCCTTCCCCGTTCTGCCTCCTCCTTCACCTCCTGTCTCCTCAGCGAGGGCTGCAGGCGAGAAAACACGGTGAAGAACGTGGGCTGCAGGAAGTACGCCTTCAACTCGCTGCAACTCAAAGCCTTTCCCAAACACTACCGACCGCCGGATGGCACCTATGGCAAAGTGGAAACCTGACTGGACCTCGTGGAGGAGCCCGCCAGGACTGCAGAGACTTTTCCGGACTTGTTACTCAAATATGAGACTGAGGAAGGTTCAAACATTTCAGATGTTCATCACCTGGTGACGTAGCAGAGGTTTATTCTGAGAGACAGAGCGGATCTCAGTGTTTTAAAATACTGTTATATTATTCAGTTCATGATAAACATGTTTTATCTCTGTCTCAAATTAACAAAGCACTTACATGAAATGCTGTTGATTGAAAAATAAAAAAAAAACGAGTATCTTAAGTAATTACAACATGATAGATGGTTTAAGACAGGGGTTCCGAACACTGGTCCTTGAGGAACACCATGTTGCATGTTTTAGTTGTCACCTGATTTTAATTGATGGATGATTAACAGGCTTCTGTAGAACATGAGGAAGTAATTAAATCACTGAATCAGGTGTGTTGGAGCAGGAAAACAACTAAAACATGCAGGATGGTGTTCCTCAAGGACCAGGGATAGGAACCCCTGGTTTAAGCTAATCACATTTAAATATTCTTAATAATGGTCTTAAAGAGACTTTGCCTTCAGTCGTTTAGGTCTTTCTGTAGTATGTAAACACAAATATATAAATGATTAGTTTCAGAGTTGGACCTGACAGAAAGCAGAACATGTAGCTCCAGAAGCAGTGCCTTTGTTTTGCTGCCCTAAGTGCCCATGAGCAACCTGAACTGTCGCCTCAGAAGGTGGAGCTGCTGATTCATCAGGAGTCACTCAAATCAAGATAAAGCATTCGTTGAAAGAATGCAAATTGCCCACCGCTTTTTACCCCCAAGATCACCTTCTGTTGAGAAATGACGGCGGTGCGTTCAGAGTTTGTGTTGTGAATCACTCTCAGCTACTACCACATCGAGCGTTCCCTCAGGATAAAGAAGTGATTGAAATAGAGCCATTTATGTGTTGGTTGAGGTCAGTAACTGTGGCGACCATCTTGAAATGGGTTGACTCTAAAAATTAAATGTTTGAGGCACACTGAGCACGAACCTCCATTTTATTTTATTTTTTTCACGAGGCGCCACTGCTGCTCATGACCTCCACTAGACTGTAATATATGATCTGAGTGTGAAAAGCATTTTACTGAAATCTTTGAAAGATTTTTCACTTTCTGTTGAAGAAATAAAATAACTTTTAGTTGTTGTTTTTGTCTTGGAAAACTAAATCATCTCGGGTCAGTTTGACACCCACTTTCTTCAGAATATTTCAATTAGGGATGCACGATATTATCGGCATGGTATCGTATTGGCCGATATTGGCGATAAAGTTAAATATAGAACATCGGTCATTCCATCAAAATTACTCCCCAATATAAAAGGTACAAATTTGCACTGTCCGAGTGTTATTGTTTTAGAGAGATTAAATGTCATGAATAAATTTGACATTAAACATAATCCAAGTTGAAGTGTTGCATCATTTCCAGCCCCTTTTTTAGTATCTACATTTGGTAGCAGGCAAAGACCATGCAGAATAATATAGTATTTTAATTCCACAGCAGAGAAAGCTATGTAGTCTCTGTAAGTAGGTCTAGTGGGAAAAATATCGGTATTGGTTAACATATTGGCATATTGGATATCGGCCAAAAATCTAATATCGTGCATCCCTAATTTCAAATAGAAAGAGTTGCATCATTCAGGGTCGTCCTGCTTTCCACTGAATAACCTGACGTTTGTTTTTCTGACTCTTCAGCTGTTTAACCCATCGTCCTGTGGAAGAGAAGTCGAGTCAGAGCGGAGTCTGTTACGTAGCCAGAAACATCCTTACTGATTGATTTCCCTCGTGCCTCGCTGTAATTTAATTTATTTTTCAGAACTCTGAAGAAAACTGAGGCAGGTAAAATTTGTTGAAGCAAGACTGTTCAGGAGCAAAAATGGCCCGTTTTGGTAAGAAGGTACAATAATGCTGAAAAACAAAACGGAAAAAAAGTCACTGGAACATATTTTTTCTGTAGTATCCATGATCTTCTGCTTGTTCTGAAGTCGGGTCATGGGGACAGTAGCTTGAGCAGGGAGGCCCAGACCAACCGAGAGACGGTCTCAACAGCATCTGTGGAAAAATCTCCACACATCTGTGGATCGCGCCACAGGTGTGTGGAAAAGTCAACCTCTCCAGTGTGTCCTGGGTCTTCTTTCAGTCAGACATGCCTGAAGCACCTCCCTAAGGAGGCACCCAGGAAGCATCCTTGTCTTAAAGATGTAAAAACCTGGATGACCCTAAATTTTCTGCTTTTGAACACAAAGACTGAGGTTTTAGTTTTTGGACCTGAGCATTCTAGGAATTAATTTTTCAGTCTTTCTCCCTCCTTGGATGGCATTAATCTGTCCTGCAGTTCTAATGTTAAAAAACTTTATTTTTGATCATGTCTTTTATCCCCCACATTAAAAATGTTTTTAGAACATCCTTCTTCCACCTGCGTAATATCACTAAAATTAGAAACATCTTATCTGAAAATGATGCTGAAAAACTGGTTCATGCATTTGTCATGTTAGACTGGAATGTTGCAATGGTTTATCTGGATGTCCAAATACGTCTTTAAAACGTCTTCAGTTGATCCAAAATGCTGCTGCCAGAGTCTTAACTGGAGTTAGTGGGAGAGATCATATCTCTCCAGTTTTAGCTTCTCTCCATTGGCTCCCTGTCAAATTCAGAATTGAATTCAAAATCGTTCTTCTAAACTACAAAGCCCTCAATAACCTAGCACCATCTTATAGTCGAGATCTTGTTGGTCCGTATTTTCCTTACAGAGCAATTTGCTCTCAGACTGCAGGCTTACTTGTGATTCCTAGAGTTTCCAAAAGCAGAATGGGAGGAAGATCTTTCAGTTGTCAGGCTCCTCTGTTGTGGAACCAACTTCCAGTTTCTGTCCATAAGACTGACACATTGTCCAGTTTTAAGACTGGGATTAAGACTTTCCTTTTTGACAAATCCTATAGTTGGGGTCGGCTTGTCATGCAGCCTTAAGACTTAGACTACTAGAGGACAAATTGACCTCATTTCCTTAAATTATTTATTAAAATTGAATAGTTTTCATTTGATACTATTTCTGTCCTAACGTGATTTTTGACCTGCCATTGTGTATCTGTTCCTCTCAAACCCAGCCGGTCGAAGCAGATGGCCACTTGTCCTGAGCCTGGTTCTGCTACAGGTTTCTTCCTCATGAGGGAGTTTTTCCTTTCCTCTGTCGCCTTCATGCTTGCTCAAGATGAGAGTCTGTGATGGAGTTAAATTCAGAGCAGTCCGCTCCTCAGATAAATAATGTTAAATTATTTTATAGCTGAATGTTTCTGTTCAGTGTCCTGAGATGACTTCTGTTGTGACTTGGCGCTATTTAAATAAACTGAATTGAATTGATGTCCTTACCAGATACCCGAACCACCTCAACTGGCTCCTCTTGATGTGGAGGAGCAGAGGTTCTCCTCAGTCTCTCCTGGATAACTGAACTGCTCACTCTATCTCTAGGGGAGAGTCCAGCAACTTTGTGGAGGAAACTCATTTCAACCACCTGTATCTGTGATCTTGTTCTTTTGGTCACTACCCAGAACTCATGACCACAGGTGAGGGTAGGAACGTAGACTGACAGCTAAACAGAGTTTTACTTTACTCAGCTCCCTCTTCACCACAACGGACTGGCGCATAGAACTGTCATTTCTAACCCAAGCCCAGCCCGACCTGAATTTGGGCCAGACCGGGCCATAACAATGTGCGGATGGGCGGGCCGGATCTGTGTCGGGCTTTTGACTGCGTCAGCGGACGCGCGCGACTGACTAACCAATTATATGGCAATGTGGCTTGCCATACAATCCAAATATGTCAACAAGGCAACATGGAGGAAAGCACACTGCCATTTGACTACGCGCTGACCGACCTTGAAAAAAGTTAAAAAAAATTAATTAAAAAGTTCAGTTAAGCTTCAGATGGGACTACCGGTACTGCCAGGCAGCGATACATCACCTAAATGGATGTTCAGCCGCTGCACTCAGCGGACGCACGCGGCCGACAACCCAAACAGGTGATATCCCAAAGCAGACATGTCAGAGCAGGGTCCATGTATGAATAATGCAGAGTGCAGGCAGAAGCAGGGATTTAATGCTCTTTGACGGCCATGAAAGTACAAAAAAAACCTCAGCTCCGATCTTCTGCCCCTTTTATTCAGCCGCGCGTCCAATGACCGTTAATAACTATATAAACAGTCAAAGCATAATTAAAAATGTTGGGGGTGGCGTTCAGGTTCGGACCTGTAATTCTTGTTAATTTGTCGCGTCGGGTGGGGTTCGGAAATGATGACTATACGGGGTGGGGCCGGGTCGGGTCTGATTTTTTTTGGGGGGCCTGAATGCAACTCTACCGGCACAGAGTCCACAATACTTTGCACCAATCCATCTGTCAATGTCACGCTCTATTCTTCCTTCACTCATGAGCAAAACCCCGAAATACTTGAACTCCTCCAGAACCTCACCCTCGACCCGAACAGAGCAATCCACCCTTTTCCGACTGAGGAAGAAACTAAGAATCTAAAATAAAGGAAACATTTAAAACAAAGTGCAAAAAGTCAAAACATCCATGTTTGATAATTTTTTTTTATTACAGTATTATTTTTTGGGTAACGTAAAGTTTAAACCACGACTGTTTGAAAAATGTGTGTTATGTTATGTGTGTGTGTTAAGCAGCAGAGTTAAATATGTGGATTGTACAATTAAAAACAAACTTAACAAAATGTTTTCATCCAAACAGCTTATTTTGATATTAACTCTTGTGACTGGTCGAAGGACAAGACGTCATCCCACAGCAGCGTGACAGAGCTATTGAGCTGATTGATGGAAGAGGTCCCAGGCTGAGGTGGCTGTGTGTGGTTCTTCCACATGCTACTGAGGCTGCTTGTATCAAAATAGCTTGTTTTTTTTCACACTTCAATTATTTGATTGAATTACCGTATTTTTCTGACTTTAAACGAAACAGATAAGTCCAACTTTATTCAACTCATTTACATTAACCACATAAAATCGGTTTGAGGTCAGTAAGCACAACCGGAGTTAATACCGGATTATAAGGCTCACTCTCGATTTTTAAGTAAATTAAAGGATTTAAGTGCACCTTGTAGTCCGAAGAATACGGTATAGAATTTAATTATCCTATCCAACCAAGCAAGAGTCGATGACAAAAGCAGCTGTCAGATTTTTAAATTCATCTTTGATCTTTTTCTTCGGGTCAACATCATCCAGCAGGCGGGGTTTCATCGACATCGCCAACATCCTGAAGATAACCAGTTTGGATATGTGGGAGAAACCAGATGACAAGTGGAAATAAATTTTCAACCAGCAGTACGAGGAGCTGGTCAACAAGTACTTCACCTCGGTGTGCTGGACCAGGTCATCAGAACCGAGCCCAAACACAGATGTCTGCAGTGGATCTGATGTTTCAGCTCTTTCCTCTCCTGCTTGCTGTTCTCTCCAAGAATAAAATAACATTTTATCTGCCTGTGTGTATGATTTATCCATTAAACTATATCGCCTTAAAAACAAGAAATCATTTCATTTCTCCAGAGGGAACTATTTGAACTGAGCGATTTTACCTGAACGCTGCAGTACCTCTGTGTGCTGTCTCTGGACATGCTCACCGCCCTTGCGTCCCTCCCCCCGCGGAATGTCGTGTCGTCATGTGCTTGTTGTGCGAGGGTTTTTGGGGACTGCGGCACCTATTATTCTACACCTCGGAAGTGTGTCTACATTTCTATCTCCGTTAATGCGGCCCGAACCACAACATCTACCCCCACTAATTTTATATCAAAATGACTGGCTCGGCCCAGTGATGTGTGCTATTACTTTTATTGGCATTTCGAGTTACCGTGGCAACGTATTTTGCAAACAAAGACGCAATATTTCACCAACTCCAGGAACTAGTTGGTGACTGCCCACTTATTATTCTACACCTGAAAAGCGTATCTTTTTCAGCTTTAATGTGGCCTGAACCGCAACGTGGACCCCCACAAAAGTTACATCAAAACGACCGGACCGGCTTCGGGAAGTGTGCAATAACTTTTATTGGCATTCGCAGTTACCATGGTGACATATTTTGCTAACAAATATGCCAAATTTCCCATAGGAAATGAATAGGAGAAAACCCTTCACAGAAACTGAGTAACATATGGAGCCATTTTGGTTCAACATGCATGGAAGGCAGTGCATTATGCAATGCATGGAAGGCACCTATTATTACATATTATCACCTATTACTCTGATTAATTACTAATAATATTAATTATTAATGTTAATGATTATCTATTTTAATATTAATAATTATTTATATTAAAAAGTAATATTTAATATTAATGCTAATTATTGGAGTGAATATTATTACTATTGATTAATTAATATATTAATAATAATCAACAAATTAACAATATATTATTAATAATAAAAAATATTAATTAGTTTGATTATTAATAATTATTAATAATTATTAATACTAATATTTGATATGAATAATAATTTAATAATAAATAGGCAATCCCCATCAAAGTTTCTCCAGGGACTTTCTAGTTTTTCATTTTCATGCTTTTAACCTTCAGCCAAAGATTAAAAGCATGTTAGGATTTTTTTTTTTGTTTGTTTGTTTGTTTTTGTCTCCAAACCCTGTGTGTCATTTTTCACCACTTTTTATTGTCTGTCCAAACAGGTCTCGCTTGTAAACGAGTCTTCGAGGCTCAATGTGACTTATCTGTTTAAATAAAGGTTGAATGAAAAAACAATTTTTTTTAAAGGCAGCTTTACAAAAGCAAAACCAAGTCCAAATCATAAATATATTCAGATCCATCCATTCAACTCCTGCTATAATAAAATGCCTCTTCAGCAACTATTGCTGAGACTTTTTTTTCCCTTGATTGACTAATAACCAAATTAACTTGGTTATTTGTACTAATTAGCAGGCTAGATTGCTTAATTAGCAATATATTAGCAGATCCATCCAGTTGTAGTTGAGAGTCTCTAATTCAGCTCTGCAGCTGATTTGCAGTTACATAAGCCAAATAATTTACTGCCACCATAAAAGTGATGCGATCACATAAATTCTGCAGGGTTTTAGCTGTTAGCAAAATATCTCATGAACCACTGAAGGGACTTTAATGAAAGGAAATGAACATCTAAAACTGATTCACTTTAGGAATTAACTCAGTTGAAGATGGCTGCCACAGCTAATTGACATCAGCAAAGACAAAAATGGTTCAGCCACTTTTACAGATGTTGACTCCAAATTTGGTGTGGTAGTAGCTGAGAGTGATCCCTGAGACATAGACCGAGTGCTATGATTTAGGGCTGGTGGGATGAGACCTCGTTCAACAATTTTGAAACAAATTAGTTTTATTGTGTGTTTTAATTAAATGTTTTAATCAAGTTTGTGCTGGACAGATGTTTTTGTCATTTTATTCACGCGTCTCCCTAAAAACACGTTGCTGTTGAAAATCATTAAAGTTGTGTAAGAGTTCGTTAATCACTTCGCTTCATCGCTTTTGATCCTGCTCAGACGCCGTAGAATCCAATGCAACCACATACAGTGACAGCTCCGGAGAGTCAAAAAAATACTAAGACGTCTCACTCTGACAGTTTTTAAAGGTTTGGTAATCAATCTCTAGAGAAACTGATTTTCAGGAAGACATTCAATAAATTTGATGATGAAAATTCAGTTTTAGAGAGGAGTGTACATGAAAAATATGACTTGATAATATTTTTTAAATTTACTGTCATGTTTTCTTCATTTAATGACAAAATTTTCTTCAACAGATAGATGCAAGACCAATTTTTTATTTTGTGATTTGCTGTTCAGCAAACTGATATATTTTAAAAGTTTCTTCCAATGTATTTATAGACACATAAAACATCAAACTGAGATATGCCTTTTTTTTTTTTTTTGGCTAATTGGTGTAAAAATGCGATATAGGCCCTTTAAACCTGTGATAACTGTTGCAGTCTTTATTAAAAAAAAAAAAAAACTAACACTATAAAAAACCAAATAAAAGATACAAATAATAAAATGTATAAATAATATAAATTATATAATAATCATATAAATAATAAATAAAATTTTAAAAATGCAAAGGGTCCAAATCATATAAAGGCAATGAGTGTTAGTCATGCACACATTTGTGTGTGAAGTACACACTCAGGGCAGAGCAGCTGCTCCTCCACATCGAAAGTGGTCAGCCGAGGTCCAGGAGTCTGATTTGAATGATTTGGGGATTTTTTTTTTTTAGGCACTGGGTGGAGACCCTGCGTCTGATGCAGAACTTTCTGATGGATATAGTGACTCTGGCCTTGTCCAGGAAGAGCTGGAGACTGCTGCTGGAAAGCGGGATTCTGTGTTTCCCTCTGGGATGTATTGCCTCCACATTTGGACCACATATAAGCAAAAGAAAATGGATGAATTGGATGTTGTGTTATTATTTTGTAAACCTGATATATCCATAAAAATACATGAACTAGTCAACTTGTATTTTGGTTGCTCAAAATTGTAAAATTTACTATTTGCGGTTTCTGTCTCTTTAAGACACGCCCCCTCTTCTTGCCCCCTCTCTGTCTCCATGCGAAGTGCCTCATCTGTCTTATAGACGATCTTTGCGGTTAGCCGCTTAAATCCTGTGTTAAAGTAGAAACAGCGGCTTTTCTTTGCTAACAGCTCCGTGGGCTGGTGTGTTTGCCACCGGTTTAAACCAACACATGAAGGAGGGATGACAAGAAGCAGCTGGTCAGAAATATTAATCGTTTTAGACAGAAAACTGCGCGGTTATCCTGCAATTTGTGTTAGCTTTCGTGGCTAGCTGCTTGATTAGCTGTGCAGCAGAGATGAAAACACCTGGCACAAGTTGTACTTTATACTGTTTAACTTAGCATTTGTAGTTCTTTAGTTGTTTTGCTAATGAGTGATGTAACTTGACTGAATGTAAAGTACTTTTTAAACAAAAAAGAGAGAGAGTGTCTCACTTTCGTTTTCTGTTTGGGTCTAGTTTATCGGATTTTCCCCTGAAATTCAAGTTGACGGTGAGTGAAGTTCGGTTATTTCTGACTTGTTTCCAGGGTCTGCCGGGAGAAATGTGACTAAATGTTTGTGTTGTGGCTCAGAATCAGTCCTGATGATGATGATGGAGTGAAGCCTGGAGTGATGGACACCCTGAGGAAGAGGTAGGTCCACCTAAAAGAACAACTTCTCCCCCTGGGGGGGAATCACCCTGTTCTGCAGCTGATGTGACCATGTGACTCTGCCTTTAACCCACAAAACAACAACACACACCAGATGGATCAGCCACACACGCACACGCCTACGCTTGTTTTATCAAAGCACATCTGACAGCTGCTGTTAATGCTCAGATATTTATCTGCATTTAAAAATCCAAATTAAAAAGCAGCGCTCTCTTTGAAAGTTACATTACACTCGCTCTGTTGTTTGTAGCTTTTAGCTTGCATTTTGCTCTTTTTAGCTTTTACGTAATATTTGGTTGTGTTTAACTTGTGGCTAGTGTTTAGCTACTTTTAACCTTTAGGTTGTATTTTGTTGTGTTGAACATTTGGTTAGAATTTTGTTCTTTAGCTTTTTAAGTAATATTTTTGTTTTTGACATTTGGCTAACATTTTGCGCTTTTTAGCTTTTTGGTAGGGTTTTTTTTTTTTTTTTTTTTGGCTAGTAATTAGCTATTTGTAGCTTTTAGGTGGTATTGTT